GAATATACCAAAAAATCGATTTGTGTGGGCAAATCAAATAAGAAAATTTTTAATAGGCGTGTAAATTAATCTAGAGATAAGCTAACAACTAAAATTAAAGAGAGAGAGAGAGAGAGTTGGTTCGGTTCACATTACTGCTGTCCGCTTTAGGAGACGGGCCTAGTATTCTATTTTCTCTAGATGAGGTATTGGTAACCTTATAGGAGAAGAAAGGCCCTAAGTAATCAACCCAGTTGGGGAAGGAGGCTGGGCTGGGTTAGAAAAGAAAAAAAGTTTGACTTAGAGCCTGGTTGATGAACCCAGCCGGTCTGTATATATATTCTCGTTCTTGAAAGAATCATCAACTCAACTTATTATTTAAAGAATTAATCTCACCCAATCTTAATTTTCTTTCATTTTTTTCTTATGATTTAAAAGGATAAAAAAAATTAAGAGTTTTTGAGAAAAAGAAATTAATGCTTATTAGTTATTTTTCTTTTACTAATGATAAATTATTATTTTAAAAAAAAAAAAAAAAGAAAAATGATGAACATCAACCCATTTCTTTAAATAGTTTCTGTGTTTTAAATATACTTTTATAATAAAATGAGTAAACTACAAAATATTTTTTTGACGAAAACAAAGTTAAAACCTGTCAAAAACTATAATATGTAATTTTTACAACATCACTTTTAAGTTTCACTAAAAATTTATACTTAAAATTTTAAATTAATTTTATTAAACATATAATTTTAAAAAATAATAATGTTTTCTATAATTATTTTATTATATAATAGATAAATTTTTAATAAAAATATGCAATGTATTATTATGTTAATAGCATCACCGTAAACTCCAGATTTCCCCAATTTTTTAAAAAAAATGAAAAGAACCGAAAATTAAAGCCGCAGCGGAAACAAACCAAGAGGTCTCCGGCCCGTCGACTGTAATCATCACTTGTCCACTCTCGACCGGGCGGCAAACGCAGATGGTGAACTCCCTTTTGCGTCATTCATCGAGCATCTTCTCTTCGTTCATCATGTATCCTTTTACTCATATTCCATTGATGCTCTGATTGTTTTCTCTTTGCAGTCAGTCACTCTGCACACGAATCTCGGAGACATAAAGTGCGAAATCTTTTGCGACGAGGTCCCCAAAGCGGCGGAGGTCAGTACCTTTGTTTCTGCCATTTCATTACTAGGCTTTATTCGGAGAATTTCTGGGCAGCTTTTTTTTCTGAATTCAGCTCCAGTTGGCGGCTAAGTAATTAAATGATCAAAGTTCGCTGCTGATTGATTAGAGATTCCCGAATAATGCTCATCTGAGAGTACGCAGAACTTGTCTTGCCCTATATATAGGGTACACGAGGGTCTACCTTGCTTTCGTGCACGATTTTGAATGGTTCTTTGTTCTTCTGCAAATGATTTAAGAACGGAAGTTATCTAAATTTTAGGTGTTTTTTTCCCTGGTTTATATGCTTATATTTCATGGAGCATCTGTTTGAACTTTGTTGATAGGATTATCTTATGGTATTACGTTATGTGGTGGGGTTCTTTCATTAATTCATGTTTGTGTTTCTTTTTTGGTACAGAACTTTTTGGCGTTGTGTGCTAGCGGTTATTATGATGGGACGATATTTCACCGAAATATTAAAGGTTTTATGATTCAAGGTGGAGATCCAACAGGGACTGGAAAGGGGGGGACTAGCATTTGGGGCAAGAAGTTTAATGATGAGATACGTGAGTCTCTTAAGGTACTTAGAGTGAAATTTTTCAGGCAATCTTAGAATGCAAAATATTACCTGTTTTATCCTGCGATTTATTGGTTATCATGTGGATTCACATACATCTTCTTTGCGATGTTGAAGTCTTTTTTTCCTAATTTGGGGAGGGGTCGGGTTGGTTAGAACACATAACTCTTGAATGTAAATGGAGAAGAGATGCAGCTCTGGTTATGTTGGTTCTCCTTTGGAACAGCTTTGCTAGGATGCTATCTTTATTCTGTGGTTGTAGATATATCGTCAGTTTAAACTGAGTTGTTTTGCTTCTTTGCCCATTTAGGATACTCCCTTTAAATGAAACTTACATATCCTTGCCCAGTCCTTGACCTTGCTGCAACTAGGAGGGCCTTCCTTATGACCACAACTAATTGTTGCTCCCACTGTTTGGTCAATAAAGTGCTGGGACTCCCTCATTCGAATTCTATGGATGATCAATCTTTGGCAGCTGAATCTGATTCAACAGCATGAAAATGGGGTAGATCCCTGGCGCAAGAAGAAGGGGATGATCTCTATCATCTTGACTTGATTTTAATTTTTTACTTTATCATTTTAAGAAAAGAGTTTCGATATTGTTTAGAACATACTGCTCAGCTTGATTGGTTCACCAAATAGGAGAAATTCTGGTAGACCTATTTGCATGTAGTCATTTAGAGCAAAACCAAAAATAAAAGCATATTTCATGTCAATGGATCCAAGACAAGTGAAACTACCTTTCTTCATTAATATTTATAGGCAGACTGATTACCCATGAATTTATATTTTAGCATGTAACTGAATGAAACTTAGGTACTTCTTTTTGGTTTACTCGTCAAATCTCAGTTAATTTGTGGTCTCAAAATTTGGTAAGAGACCGTGTAAATGTAAAATCCAACCTAAGTATATTCCAATTTGGTCTATTAATTGAAATGAATCTAGGAAGGTTTTAGTCTATTAGTAGAGACATTAGAAGCTGAGGAACTTAGATTTATCTGATGGTAGAATTTTCATAAAATTAAACAGAACAAAGTATTTTGTCACCTTTTACGCTGATCCCTAACAAGTTGTTGCTTAGGGTTTTTTTAACCTCTATGCTCTATTGACAAATTATATGGGTTGCCTTATTACCATTACTGTCTTGCAGTCATGAAGCTATTCACTTGTGTTCTGTTTGCCATCCAAACTTGAGCTTCTTAGAAGCTTTTGTTTGATTTGGTCAGATGTTACTCTTTCAACTAGTGAATTAATATGCTTCAGTAGAGTTGATTTTTTGTGTAGTTCCATGCTGGAAGAGGCATGAGAACATTATCTTCAAACTTAAAATCTTATTCTGCCCCGTTTACAACTAGACAAACTGTGGTTTGTTGGATTTTTAAGTCAGTGAAATTTTAACGTGTCCAAGAATATGACAGCTGGCAAAAATGTTTCTGATTAAGATGTATTTTTTTTCTTTATCTTCCAGCATAATGCGAGGGGTATACTAGCGATGGCCAATAGTGGACCTAATACAAATGGAAGCCAGTTCTTCATAGCTTATGCTAAGCAACCACATCTCAATGGCTTGTACACCGTCTTTGG